TCTTTGCCTTTTAGAGCACTCTCGGCATCGGCGTTCTTCTTGGAGTTTCGTGACTATGCATTTATGACGTTCTTGGACCACGATATGTGCTAAGGCTTCTAAAAAAAAACGGCGTCTCGCAAAAAGCCCATCCCGGCTACTGTGTCATGGCATCAACATAAACAAGCATGGCGGCACCCATGAAACAGACAGGACGCTGATCAAAAGTCCAGCCGACGCTACGAGCTGATGGGATCAATCACACAACATCAAAAGCGCACCATCATGGTGTTCGCAATGTTTCTGTACGTTTTCTATCATCGCTAAAACCAATCATAATCAGAAGAGGCCTAGTGAGTTTCGCTTTTAACGCTGCTTGATTGGTCCCATTAGCTTGTGAAGTCTGCTGCTGTCTGGACATGTGCTAAAACGCACTATAGTATAAAAAAAAAAAATGCCTAAGAACTTTTTTGGTAACGTCACTTAAATGCCAAAAAATCTCGTTGTTCATTGTGTTCCAGAAACAGCCGACAGATTGCGCTCTAAAAGATACAGACACGAAGGACTTTACGCACCTTGCAATGACCCTTTTCTATTTATTTTATGTTATTCGTATACTCATATACGTGGGTGCAAAACGGTCACTTATAGAATGCTGCTCGGGCTCTATTTCTTGCCGCCTCCTGGTGTTTGCTTAGTGAAGCCGCGGTGCACTTCGACGAGCCGTAATTTCCGCGACATGTCTCGCATTTATGCTCAAGCGTTTGATTACCTGTTTATCCCGCTATGCGCGTTTGCTCGTCTCTCGCTCCTATCGACCTCTTTAGTTCTCGGAGTTCTCCAAGAAACACAATCTCTTCCTCATTTAAACAAATAAAGTTGTCCCGATAAACAGCTTTCCTGGATGTTTTCCTTTTAGTGCCTCCGACGGTTTAATATTTAGAAAAAAAATCGAAAATGCTAGAGGATGGGCAAATAAGAAACGCGTAGGCTAGAAAACCAACCGATATAACAAATACACTTCCTTCTGCCCCTGCCATTAAGCTTATATATAAAGGCTTCCTGACTGACCGGACGTGTGTTCTCGGTCATACATATCGAGGCGACTTCGTGTCTCTCATAATTTTCTCATTGCTCGTTTGTCTTTTGTAGCTGACTCCGAGTGAGCCGTAAAGATACCCAACCTGAACCAGCCTGTTATCTCGAGGCCATTGCTCGGGATGCATGAAAACATGGAAATGAGAACATAGGGACTGAATATAAAATATTATTAAATGTATTACATTGCAATGCGCATCTGTTTTGTTGTCTCAATTACGTAACCAAGTAAACGGAAGTGTTACGCGTTGGGATAAAATATATCTCATAATGTGGAGGTTCTTGTGGGGCCACTGTTACACCCACAAAGCTTAGAGATCCAGACAGCTATAGCTAAAGTAACTTTCTAACAGATATGATATCACTAAGGCCTGTTCGCACAAACAATTCGAACTCAGCGCAATAGTCACAACGCTGACTTGGCGCTATGTCATAGCTCCGCTGCATGCGACGTCGTCTTTTTTGCCTTACACACGCAACACAGCATTAGCTTAGCGCAGAAGCAACGTTAAGAGTTGCGATGAGATCAATACCTGGCTTTCCCTTATCTTAGCTGCGAGGTAGATGCCTGAAAGGCCTTTATTATCAAAGAGCATTCTTCGGATATTGTTTCTATATATTGAATAATTCCACTGGTCGTTATGTTGTGATTCTGAAACGCCATTCACTCGTTATTTTGTTACAACTTTCTTAGTATATTTCAAGCTTATGTTTGTTACTAGCAAGGCAGAAGGAAAAGAGACATCATAAGGAAATTCAGTCGCACTTGGTATTCTGCCAGATATACTGGCTGATCTCCTTTCAATATGTATTATTGCAACTTAACTATTATTTATGCTCACGGACCATACCAGGGCCATTGATTACACCGGAGTTTGCTCAATTATATAGGACAGTGTTCATGGACGTAAAAATAGGCATGACATGAACTTACACAATGTGCCCTCACAATGGTAGGGCTCAAACTGAAATTCGTGCATAATTGGGGGGCCTCCGTGGTTATGCACAAGAAAGTTGCTTCTCGTCTCACTCATGTATGTCTCTTTCTTTCTTGGTAGGCGGAAGACCAATTGCGAAACCTGAAGTGTTCCGTAATTGTTTAAATGCTTTGGTGGCGATGCATGGCATCATTGTTTTCGCCTTTCACAACTGTCGGGGCATTGTGAATGCTCATTAGCTGGTGGTGATTGTTTACATCTCTGCGCTAACAAATAATCGCCCGTGTAATCAACTTCGCATGAGTGGCGCTATAGCGTGGTTGACGGAAACAGCTAAGGGAATACAAAAATCTATACAAATTCTAGCTCAAGGCCGACAGAAGTTGTGGCATAGGAGGATCGTACGAGTATTTCATGGAAAAGAACTTAGCAATAGTTTCTTCTCGCAAATACCGTGCAAAAACGTTGCTCAGCTAAAGCTGCTTTTTCGGATGCTCAGATGGCCGCATTCTGAGTATATTACAGAAATGATACTAGCATTAAACTTTCTCATAAGTTTACCTAGAGATGCAGTTTACATGTACTTATTCCCTGGCCAGAAGTACGCTATTCGTCATAAAGGTACTTTATATAACAACTCAGCCCCTACTCATTCGAATTCATCATTGATACTACTATCAAAAATAAAATGCCAGTAAATAAACAGCTTTTGTTTAATACATAAAAAAATATTTGCGAGCACCAGGTTTGGGTGTCTGCATAAACTTCTCTCTGGTGATTGTTGTATGGGGGAATGCCAAAAAAACGTTGTTCATACTCTTCTTGGTGGAATGTGGCTCTAGCATTGTGAGGCCACGAGGTGTCTGCATGCATGAACCACCGAAAACTTTTGCCGTCCCTTGCATGATGAGGAAACATTAATTCAACAGTCAAGGGGACTATACTTCGTTTAAGCTTCGGTCCGAGCGCGGCCGATGTTATGAGCCGAAGGGCCAATCAAACAGCGAAAGAGGCACAACGTCATGGCGTGCTCTCTGCAGTTGATAGGACCAGCCGGTATTCGCCGTCTCTGTGTGCGTGCTCCTCCGCCGGCTAGTCTTATCAAGCGCAGAGATCACGCCATGCCGCTGCGCTTTTTGCGGTTTTTGGTTGGCCCTTCGGCTCATAACATCGGCCGCGCTCGGACCGAAGCTGAAACGAAGCATAGGCAACGTCATCTGTCCGGTTGCAATTAACTTCAGTTAAAGTAGAAAGAAACGTAGACAAACTCAGCTACTTGTACTGGACGTTTTCCACCAGGTCTCCGAATGAGAAAGGGGCAGCGACATGGGCACCGCAAATACATTCGCCCTTGGCACTATTTGGCGACCCTTCGGTGGCGCGTAAAATAATTCATGTCGCAGCAAAAGTTACAACGTCCATGGAAAACGAGGAGCGTACGTGCGTATAGGTGTCGCGATAGGAGTTAGTCAACCGCCGGGAGCCAAGGACGAACACGTTTCTTCAGAGAGGGGATTTCCGACGCGCCGCAGGTCGTTCGCGTACTCTTCCCTCCCCGTCCGAGGTGACGGGACATCTTCGCACGCCTACCGACGTCTGCCGCGGGCCGCTGTTTCCTTTCTCCTAGAGTACATCAAAGGATATACGCTTTATCTTTGACGGCAGAATCACCGCACCGACATTGAGGTCTAAAGGCGCGGGGAATCCCCCGCGAGGTAGCTGCGCGCAGATGTCAATCATCTTATATTGCGTTACTCGGTTGAAGAATAGATGAACGAAAGATTCTAGTCGAGTCATGACAGGAACAACATAGAATTGGTAAACCATGGTGAAAGATGCGCACAGAAAGACAGTGACAAAAAGAACAAACACGTAAACAGCAGACAAGTACATTTGTCTGTAGTCTACGCGTTTCTCTTTTTTGACTTTGTCTTTTTGTGCGCATCTTTAACCATGCTTTGTTGGTACCAACACGACCAACTGGCCACCTTACTATAGAATTGATAAGTGGCCTTGAACAGTGACGCTTGAAGCCCCTCTCTTTTAGACTATCAAGGCTCCTCTACCTTGAATTGCCGAATGGCCAACGTTACAAGGCGGTTATCGAGGGGAAGATCTCACAACCTTGTAGACGCTGCTTTGAAGGCACAGAACCGGGCAACTGCACGTGAACTCGTTGCCAACTGGTCAAGGTTTGATTTCCAAAAAAACAGCGTGTCCTAGCATAGTTCCACAGTGCCAGCCATCATTCCCACTCCTCGATATTTTGATTAACTATTACGGGCAATTAAATGCTTTACAAAACCCTCCGTCCCCTTAATGACAGTACTTGCTAGGCTACGTCACTAAGCCGTATATGTCGGATGCTATAAATTCCCGAATGGCCCCCTATCTACGGTGAAGAGATGAAATGGTAAAATATGGGATCAGCGTTCGTTCAGGATTGTACGGTATTATCGGAGTGACGCGGCGATGGGCGTGAATGTTTTTTTTATAGAGTATGCTTCTTTTTTAGTTGCAGAAAAGAGACCTTGGTATACTCGAATGGTGTATATGTTTAATGAGACATGCATTAACATGTCTCCCACCATTCCCCTTTGTACTTACAAATACACGAAGCAGACCAAGAGAGCCCATGACCCGGCAGTTCGGCACACTGCCCTATCTTACATGTTCTTGTTTCATCATATTTTAAATTAATATATATATATATATATATATACATATACATATATATATATATATGCCACACATGGTCGCCCCGAAATGTTTCACTAGAATAGAGGCGTTCGCTTTACGCGAATATTATTTAAACTTCATCGAAGGTATGCAAGAGAAGGTTACATACTCTCATAATCATGCACACATGGATATCGAAAAATTCAATAGTTTTATCGAGGGATACTATTATTTTCAAGAGTATCACGAAAAAAAAAATGTACACGTATCTATCGATACAAAACAACAAAGCAAAACTATATTTACCAGTAGTCTCCTCTACGTGTTGTCAGAGCCAGTAGTTGTGAAGACTCCTTCCAATCTGCGATGCACCCTCAAGCTTAATCCGACTCAAAGGCTCGAGGCACCAGGGTACAATGCTGTCTTTCTTTGTCAGACAGCTCCTATTTATGAATCGCACTGTGCCCCTGGTTTTCCGTGAAGAGTTGCTCCTCTGGCAACCGGCTCATATGTGCGAAATCGAGATGCTCTCTCTCTTTCTCTCTCTTTCTCTCCCTCTATGCACTCCTCTCCACCGCCTTCCCTCCACTTATCTAGTTCAGGGGTCGGGCGCCTCAAGATGAACTGACGTGGGTTCGGTGTGCCAAGCAATGAACAACAAAATAACGTCGTTCATGCCCACCGGCCCTCTTGCTCCTTCGTTTCCGTTGCGCCTGTAAGACTCCGCGCCGTCCTAAAGCGTTACGAAACACACCCTTCATCTCAGTCGAGGAAACCGGAAACGGCAATCACTTCCTGCGCAGCGGCGCCCGAGGAAGGGCCGACGATACGTGCGACGTCATGTGACGTGTTGGGGCGAGCCGTGACGTCACGACGAGAGGTTCACCCATGTGCTTCCAGTCCGTCTAGATTAGCTCATCTCGGCACGTGTCTGAGCTACGCACACTGTTGTCTCTCGGAAGGCGCGATAGAACTGCGCCTCGTAATAAGTGGAAGCCACAGTTCAGCTAGACTGGCTGACGTTCTGGTCTCAGAAAGGAACTGCACAGTCCGCTTCTCGCGAATGCTGGTGAGACGTTTCACTAGTCTGGTAGAGATACAATGGCGACTGATTCTTTATTGCACCTGACCTAGATTTTAGAACACGGGGAACTGAAAAATCCACGCATGCTGAGGGTCAGTGACCCAGCCAATAAAAGTTTTATTCACCGTTAATTTAACTTTACTTTGGTAGTTAAACAGCAATACAAGCGTGAGTAAAGTTTATAATTGATTACAGCGAATTTGAGGTGTTTACATATTTGCAGGATGTATAATTATGTTGCCCAATTTCAATGGATTAGAATACGCTTCTTGTGTTCGTTCAAACCACGGCATGACTATTCTAGCCATAAGAGCCGTTACGCGGAATCGAATGAGCACCACGCACGCTTCCTGCGGGAATTCTGCACCTTTTTGATCTGTTGCTTTCGAAGTAATGCTTTTTGCTTTCCAATTTTGAAGTTAAGAGCATGTTTTTTTTTTCTATTTTATGTGAGGGCTGGGGGGGGGGGGGGGGGCTATTATTTTTACGTCTGCGTTCTTTTTCATAATTATTCCGTTTCCTTTTATTATTGTTTTGAGTTTGGCTGTACCTGAGTACTGCTGAGAACATATCTACAGAGTTAACAGTACGATGGTTTTATTGTGGTGACACTGCCCTTTGCGTTCTTATCTTCTCTCGCAAAGGAGTGCGCTCGAAGACCATTTCTCAAACTGTAATGAACGACAAAAGAGCAAAAGTACAACTAACCGAGGGGTAGGACATGAAACGTATTTACTTATTTATTTATTTCAATACCCTCAGGGCCCATAGGGCATCAGAGAGGGGGGGGGGGGGGGGGGGCATATAAGAATTCACTCGAAAGAAAATACAAACGTAAAAGACAGTGATCAAAGCACAATCAATTCGACAAAATATTAACAAAAGTGATTAGTAAGCGCTGTTTTAAATAAATCAAGTGATGGGATAGCGGGTAAAGATGCTTGAAGGTGGTTCCACTCAGAAGACGTTTTTGGTATGAAGGAGTCGTTGTATGCTGATGTCTCACAGTGAGGAATGCCGACCTTGAAACGATGATCAATGCGCGAAGAGATAAATGCGGGGTTAAGGAATAACTTATCTTTTAGTGAAGCGTTGAAGTGATAAATTTTGTAGAAAAGGCATAGACGAGATATTTGTCGCCGTAAGGAAAGAAGAGGAGGGACAATGAGTTTTTCATACATGATACACTAGCGGTGCGATGATGGAATAGATAAATCGTACTCCACGATTTTGAACAGCTTCAACGTTAGTCGCAAGTGTTGTATGCCCGGGGTCCCAGATTGATGAGGCGTACTCCAATTTTGATCGAACTAGAGTTTTGTACAGAAGCAATTTTAATGATATTGGGGCTAAAGAGAAGTTTCTATTCAGATATCCAAGCATAGAGTTAGCGTTAGCGATAATATGATAAGTATGTAATTTTCATGAAACGGTAGAAGTAATGTGAACACCGAGATATTTGCAAGACTTCACAGATTCCAGTAGGTTGTTAGAAATTGAGTATGGTGATGGGGACGTGTTCCGAAAAGAAACCTTCATGGATTTGCATTTGTTACTGTTAAGAGTCATTTTCCATAAGTTACACCATTCGGATACAGTACACAGGTCACATTGAAGTAGTGTTGCGTCAGAATCGTTAGTTATTTCACGATAAATTACACAGTCATCGACAAGTAAACTTATTGAGGATGATACACACAGCGGTAAGTCATTTATATAAATAAGGAAAAAAGAGGTTCTAAACGTAAACCTCTCCGTGGACATCCACCTGGTTCGGAATGACAATGCATGAAAGGAAAACTCTAACCAAAAAACGGAACCTTGTGGGACATCAGAGGTAACAGGACTAAGGGAAGAATTAGTTTCATCCGCACAAACATATTGAGATCGATTAGTTAGGAAACATGTAATCCACGACAAAACATAAGGATCAATGTTAAGCTTGCTAAGTTTAAAAAATAAGAATTGATGAGAAACTTTGTCAAAAGCTTTGGCGAAATCAACATACACACAGTCAACCTGGGACCCACGGTCAAGAATGGAAAGTAGGTCATTAGTGAAGGACAAAAGCTGAGTCTCACAAGAAAGAGATTTGCGAAAACCATGTTGTGAGGGTGAAAAGAAAGAATTTGAATCTAAGAAATTAACTAAGTGAGAATAAATAATGTGCTCTAAAAGTTTGCAGGGGGTGCTGGTTAACGAATTGGGTCAGTAATTAAGAGGATTATGTTTGTTACCTGACTTGTGAAGTCGAACCATCTTTCCTTTTTTCCAATCATCCGTAAGACACCAAGGTTGAGTGACTGCTCAAAAATTTTTGTAAGAAAAATTGACATGTAATGTTTAGTGTCCTTAAAAAATTTAGAGGTAATATTGTCAACACCAAATGAGGAAGATACTTTCAAATTATCGATCAACTTTACAATTCCATCATAATCAAAAGCAAGCGGATCCATGGGAAAGAACCCATAATCTGGAAAAATTGAATAATCTAAACCATCATTATCAGTAAACGCCTTGACAAACTTGGAGAACATAATAGCGCTTCACGACAGGGGCGAAGGGTAGGAACGAGACAACACAATGCGCTAACTTCAACTGGTTTAATCACCAGAAAATCAAAGGTATAAATACTCTGCATCATCGCGCCATTCAACCAATCCCAAGCCACGCCACTGATCGCAAGAACTGTATCTCTTTGTCTGCCAAATCGATCGACGCCACGCTGACACATCGATCCCCGTAGTTTCTTATCAGGTCCGCCTCTATAATTTCCCTTACCGTCTTATCTCTATGTTTTCTAATGACAGTGCACAAATACAGCCATTCCGTTAGGCACGTTCATAACACTCCAAAATTGTTTAGGGCTATTAGCTAACATTGAAGGAAGGGTAACATTAAAATAAGTCAGTTTTGCTTCCTTGATGGCTGCCTTATAAGCATTGACAACAGATTTATAAAGGACCCAGCGCTCAGCGAGGCCAGACAACTTTGCAGAGCGGGAAAGGCGTTTTTCCTTATTAGCAAGGCGTTTAAGAGTTACATTAAACCAGGGAGACATGTGGTTAGATACGATATTCCTACACGAAATAACTGAATTAATTAGAGAATTTACTTTGTTTTTAAACATGTTTCAATTAGTCTCCATCGCTCGTTCTGACAACGCAGGCAAAAATTCGTCAAGAAAGCAAGCGATCTCATTATTTATTTCACTGAAATTTGCTTTGCTATAATCGAGAAAGTGTTTGGTAGATTTGTTACCAACATGCGATGAAGCTTGCAGGCTGAAATTCAAAATAGCATAGTCGCTAATGCCCGCTAAAAAGTTATAGAAGAAGCGAGATTAGGGTCAGTTGTAAGAATAAGGTCTAACACATTGGCCGTCGCATCAGTAATCCGAGTAGGCTCAGTGACACTTTGAGAAAAGGAAAAATCAAAACAGAGGCTGATAAAATCCGAGTAATCCGAAGAGCTACTAAATGCAGCGGGAAACGGTCCAGACCAGTTTATCAAGGTAAGATTAAAATCACATAGTAAAAACATGGGTGCAAGGGGGAACCTTGGACAAATCATAATTAAAGCATCATGCAAATCCGAGCAAACATTTGCTCGGGTAGTGATCACTGCTCGTTTGTGTGTGCCCCAGCTGTCAGTCGGCGGTATCAGCAGCAGGGTAAACAATGTCCTAGGTAATAACTCAAATTGCTTATGAAAAGTTTGTAGATACATGCCAGCAGCAGTGCTGCGGAGTTGTCAGTCCAGAGTTGGAATATTCCCGGAATTGTTTTACCCTTCAGCGACTTCAACATGGAATGTCAAAGGATTGGCTGCAGCGCTGGGAGGTTTGGAATAGGAATGGAATTGTGCTCTCGCAGTGAAGTGGGGAATGAAAGGAAGTCGGTTCTTATGCAAGCTGTATCAATACTGCTGATGGCGCAACGCTGGCACAACGTCCTTAATGTAACTTAAAACAGTATCATTGCACTTAAGGTGACGGGTGTCTTTGTTTTCTTACCGGCTCATGTTTCTTTGAGTATAGACACACTCAGCTCACTGAAGTCACGCCAATGCGGTGGCGCTGCTGTCGGTACTGCGCATGCGCAAAAGCTGCACTCCTCCCGAATTTGGTTTGTGCGCACGCCCAGTGCCCACACCTGGAGTGGGCAAAGCGGGCTTTGTTTGTAAACACTCTGTTGGTGTATAAAAGTTCGGTCCACAGTGAAGCAACCAAAACTGAAAATACGGACAAGGACTCGTTCCTGGCGCAGCGAGACGCGACAAAACGGCAGTTGTGACTATGCACGATTACAGCTCCAGTTGTAGGCCGCCACACTCTAAGGAATCATGAGCGCCTTCTCTCCCGCAAAGCCATTGGGAGAGCCAGTCGCTGCAATTTACAGAGGGCGCTCGGCGAATCACGAGGCTGTATGTATGTATATAAAAAGAACAAAAAACTGTCTGCGGTGTTGCGCTAGACACGGAGAAACGTCATGCTCAGCGCCTCAGCGCAGGCAGCTGTTTTAGGCTTAAGCATATCATCAGCCCCGCCATTGGCCGAGCTCCCACCATACATTGCAGCGCTCTTCCTAGTGCTTTGCGGGAGAGCAGACGCTCCAGATGTCTAAAATGCAGGCCGAA